AATCTTTGTTAACCTCATGGCAATAAAATAATTTTTAAAAAATTTGCAGTTGTTTGATTAGTACTGAAGTCAAGAATTTTAAAAAATCTCTTTTGTGAATTATATGTTTTCTAAAGTAGTATTCTATTTTCAGATTTCTTTTCCAGAGTTCTTCATGTATTGAGGATTCATTCATTCATAGATTGGCCATTTATTGAATGCCATCTGTATAACAGGCACAGTCCCTAGGTGCTTGGGATATAGCAGTGAACAAGAGACAAACCCCCTGCTATCATGGTATTTACACTGTTGTGGTCCAGATAATAAACAAGGTAAGTAAATTAAATATGAAATATATTAAATGGTGAAAAATACTAAGGGAAAAAGTAAAGCAGGAGGACATTTAGAATTAGAGGTGGGAGTTAGAGTTTTTGATGCAGTAGCCAGGGAAGGCATCCTAAAAAGATAGTAATAAAGAAATGAAGGAAATAAAGGAGCTAGTTACACATATAAGTGAGGGAACATTATTCAGGCAGAGGGGACAACAGTCGTAAAGGTTCTGAGGTGGTAACACAACTTAAAATGAGAGGCTGCTGTGGCTGAAATATAGTAAATGTGGGGGAGAGTAGTGAGAGATGAGAGAAGAAAGGTGAGTGGAGGGGAGGAAGGCAGATCAGGTTGGGCTTTGTGGCTCATAGTAATAATTTGGCTTTTACTCTGAGTGAGATGGGAAGCTGCTGGAGAGTTTTAAGCATGGGAGTAATATTATTTGCTTACGATTTAAGGGGATATCTTTGGCTGCTTGGATGAGAATGGATTAAGGGAGAAAGAATGGGAAAGGGGAGGAGGTCAAAGGAAGAAGCAGAGACCAATTAGAAAACCATGGTTGTGTCACGATTGTGTAACGATTGGGCTATGTTCTGAAAAATGTGTGGTTAGACAATTTTGTCCTTGTGTGAACATGATAGAGTGTATTGACACAAACCTAGGTAGTATAGCCTACTATACGCCTAGGCTTTATGGTATATTCTATTGCGCCTAGGCTACAAACCTGTGCAGCATGTTACTGTAGTAGACACTGT